TTTTTTTTTTTTTTTTTTTTATACGCAGTGTCAAAATTATAATACGAGGAAAATAAATAAAACTTCATTGTTCGTTGATAAGGATATATTATCTACCGGCTGATGGGTTTACTGGCAGTAATAATGATAATAATAATATTGCGTTCATGTTCATTTCTACGTTCATCTTAAATGCTACGCGCGACTGACAATGGGACACCATAGTTTTCCCCTGTGATCAAGAACTGGCGTTGACTGTCTTTATTATTCTCTATGGTCGGTAAGGATCGGGGGTTGACGAGAGACAGGGCGAAGTAGAGCAACGGCTAAGGGTTAAACGCACGGGACGCATTGCGAGCCCCTGGCGAGTGATAAATATTCAGAACGAGGTGTGGACACGCCACGTTATCAACGCCGCGTGCGCTAATATACCCCAGCAGGTCGGCATTGTTATCGATGGGAGTCCTCTAACGAGAACAAAGTAAAAAATGAATAAAAGAAACGATATTAAAACGCGCACTTTGCCACGTTATTTGTTCTCCGGATCGTTGAAATTCCGTGAAATAACTCCACGGGCCTTTTTTGAGCAGGAGATTGGAATTTTAAGAGACGCATAAAAATCATCTCGTGAACGATTTATTGACACTCTATGGGGTTTGGGGTTTTATAGATACACGTTACTTTTTTATGCAATCTCTTTTAGGGATTTTTGAATATTTTTTTTACGGATACAATGAATGGGGATTTTTTGTATGGTTGGTGCGTACGATTGTTACGAATAGGCTAGAACAAAGGAAACAATAGGAATGTGGAACGAAATGAAATCAATTGTCAGAGCGGGTTTCGCGTTACCAATTAATTTGTTGGATCTTCAATGTTGTATGGGGTTTTGAATGGGTCCCAAAAATTTCTTTCGCTTTGTATCGGTATCGGTTTTGCTCTTTTATTCTGGACTTGCCTTTGTAACCGTTCGAAAACACTGGCTACCGCTGAATCAAGAGCAAATTGGTTAAGTTGAAACGATGAGGTTTCCTTATTTGCATAGGACTCTAACGGGTGTTCCGTTCTGACCGAGTGTTCCGTGTACCTGAACTTTACCAACTGTTTCAGGCACCCTCAACGAAATTCAGGTACAAATTACAAGATTTGTTTGCCCTTCGATAATATTTATTGTCTACTAATGGAATGTTCTTCATAGCTAACAAATATTTGAGCGTCCTTGTGTATTTTGTACAGAGACCAGGACCACGTGGGGGAGGCTGAGAGATATTAAAAAAGACAGAGGTAGATTTTTGAAAATTAATTTTGAGATTTTTCAAGAATATTGTTTGAATTAATAAAATTTATATAGAGAGCTATACTAAAAATTTGTTATTAGATACTCTTGGGGGAAGAAATATTAATTTTTGATAGTAACCACATTAACGTTTTTCTTATCGCACCAACTTTCGTCCAACCACGCGGCTCACTATCTTCTCACGTGACAAACTCACCTAAAACCGTAACTTTGTATTATACTTTTTTTTTTTTTTACTGGGAAACCCGTTACGATAACGGGGCTTTAAACGTTTCCATAATTAATCAATGGAAGGTGG